CCCCCAGGGACCCCCTGACCCCCCCAGGGACCCCCTGGCACCCCGGGGACCCCCGGACTCACCGCGGGGCTGCAGGAAGACCCTGCCCAGCTCCCCGTGCGGCCGCAGCAGCGCCCGGGCCTGGCGGGGCCCGAAGCCCGGCGGGAGGAAGGACAAATAAAGGACCCCCGGCACCACCGGCTTCGGGGGGGGGGCGGAGGGGGCCTCGGCACCCTCCTCTTCCTCCCCCTTTTCTTCCTCTTCCGGGGGGATTTGGGGGGGCCAGGACAGGGTCGGCTCCAGTCCCCAGCGGCTGCACAGGGACAGGAGCACCCACGGGCCAGGTGAGCGGGGTGGGGGCACCGGGACCCCAAACTGGGGGGTGCTGGGGACCCCCAAACTTCCCTCTGGGATGGGGATAGATCCCCCTGCCCCATGGGAGGCTGCCCCCCACATCGGGGGTATCCCTGCCTCATGGGGTGTCATTACCCCCCTCCCCCTGGGTGTCCCCTCACCCCCTGGGTGCCCCCACTGTAACCCCCCCATCCCTGCAATACCAGCCCCCCACTCAGGGAGTCACCCCTGCCCCATGGGGTGCCACCACCACTGCCCACCCCCCCGACCCCCCCCCCCCCCCCGGGACCCCGCCGTTTCCTTGCCCCCCCGTGACCCTGCTGTTCCTGTGCCCCCCTGGCACCCACCCTGCCCCACAGGGAGCCACCTCTGCCCCATGGGGTACTGCCTGCACCCCACCGTGCCACCACTGCCCACCCTGCTGTTCCTGTGTCCCTCTGCCCCACAGGGAGCCACCTCTGCCCCCATCACCCCCTAATCCTCCCTCTCTGTCCCCAGCCCACCATGCCCGCCCCGCTGGTGTCCCCGCTGGTGGCCCTGCTGGTGGCCCTGCTGTCCCTGTGCCCGCCGTGCCGCTGCCCCCCGGCGCCCACCCAGCCCCACGCCATCCGCCTGGAGGGCGACCTGACTCTGGGGGGGCTGTTCCCGGTGCACGCCCGCGGCCCCGCCGGGGTGCCCTGCGGGCCGGTCAAGAAGGAGAAGGGCATCCACCGGCTGGAGGCCATGCTGTACGCGCTGGACCGCGTCAACGGCGACCCGCGCGTGCTGCCCAACCTGACACTGGGCGCCCGCATCCTCGACACCTGCTCCAGGGACACCTACGCCCTGGAGCAGGCGCTGAGCTTCGTGCGCAGCCTGCTGCCCCCCGAGGGGGGCGAGGGCAGCTGCCCCGACGGGTCGGCCCCGCGCCGGCCCCCGCCCGAGCGCCTGGTCGGGGTCATCGGGGCGTCCGCCAGCTCCGTGTCCATCATGGTGGCCAACGTGCTGCGGCTGTTCGCGGTGGGATTTGGGGGTGTTGGGGGTTTTGGGGACATGGAGGGGCACTGGGGACATGGAGAGGCACTGGGACATGGAGGGGTATTGGTGTCTGCCAGCTCCATGTCCATCATGGTGGCCAACGTGCTGCAGCTGTTCGTGGTGGGCTGGGGGATTCGGGGGTATTGGGGACATGAAGGGACATTGGGGACATGGAGGGGCCTTGGGGACATGGAGGGGACGTGGGCAGCAGTGGTGTCTCTGCCAGCTCTGTTACCATCATGGTGGCCAATGTCCAGCGGCTCTTTGTGGTCACTGGAGGTGTTGGGGACATTGGAAGGGTGTTGGGGACAGTGTCTGGGGGATGTTGGGGCGGCTGTTCGTGGTGGGTTGGGGGGATTTGGGGGTGTTGGAGACATATAAGGGTATTGGGGACATGAAGGGACATTGGGGACATGGAGGGGCCTTGGGGACATGGAGGGGCCTTGGGGACATGGAGGGGATGTGGGCAGCAGTGGTGCCTCTGTCAGCTCTGTTGCCATCATGGTGGCCAATGTCCAGCGGCTCTTTGTGGTCACTGGAGGTGTTGGGGACATTGGAAGGGTGTTGGGGACAGTGTCTGGGGGATGTTGGGGACATCTGGGGGAATGTGGGGGGTGTTTTGGCTGGGGGAACCCTGAGGGGACATGGACAGCGCTGTCCCCACAGTGTCTTCATGGTGTCCACTCCCTGTGAGGGGGGGCCTGGACACCTGGTCCCCCTCTGTCCCCCCCTCACCGGGTCCCTTCCAGAACCTTCCCCACCTCCCCCCCCGGGTGTTTCCCACAATCCCCTGGGACGGCAGCAAATGGCCCATGGGGATTAGGGAGGATTAGGGACAGCGACAGGGACAGAAGAGGGGGGGTCCCATAGTGCCAGGTCCCCTGGGTGTCACCCAAGTCTCCCCCCCGTGTCCCCGACATCCCTCTTGTCCCCAGCCCTGGGGCTGAGCCCCCCGTGCCCCCCACTCCATCCTCCATGTCCCCTCACTCTCCCCAATGTCCCAAACATCCCCAGTGTCCCCACTGTCCCCCCAGACCCCACCTACATCAACAGCTCCACACTGACACCCCCCAGAGCCCTTCACCCCAATATCCCCATGGCCCCCTGTGTCCCCAGTGCATCCCTGACATGTCCCCAATGTCCCCCCTCCCTGACACACCCCGATGTCCCCAATGTGCCCCTGTCCCTGACATGTCCCTGACATATCCCTGTCTCCAACACGTCTCTGGTGTCCCCAATGTCCCCATGTGTCTGACATGTCCCCAATGCCCCCAGATCAGCTACACGTCCATGTCCCTTGAGCTGTCAGACCCCTGTGTGTCCCCAAACCCCCCAATGTCCCCCTGTCCCTGACACGTCCCCGTGTCCCCAGATCCCCCAGATCAGCTACGCCTCCACGGCCCCCGAGCTGTCGGACCCCGGGCGTTACGAGTTCTTCTCGCGGGTGGTGCCGCCGGACTCGTACCAGGCGCAGGCCATGGTGGCCGTGGTGCGGGCGCTGGGCTGGAGCTACGTCAGCACGCTGGCCTCCGAGGGCAACTACGGCGAGAGCGGCGTCGAGGCCTTCGTGCAGAGCTCCCGCGAGGCCGGTGGGCTGTACTGGGTTGTACTGGGTTGTACTGGGTTATACTGGGTTGTACTGGGTTGTACTGGACTGTACCAGGTTGTACTGGGTTATACTGGGTTGTACTGGATTATACTGGGTTGTGGTGGGTTGTACTGGGTTGTACTGGGTTATACTGGGTTGTACTGGGTTGTAGTGGGTTGTACTGGGTTGTACTGGATTGTACTGGGTTGTACTGGGTTGTAGTGGGTTGTAGTGGGTTGTACTGGATTGTACTGGGTTGTACTGGATTATACTGGGTTGTGGTGGGTTGTACTGGATTGTAGTGGGTTGTACTGGGTTGTACAGGATTGTACTGCATTATACTGGGTTATACTGGGTTGTACTGGACTCTACCAGGTTGTACTGGATTATACTGGGTTATACTGGGCTGTGCTGCGTTGTACTGGGTTGTACTGGATTATACTGAGTTGTAGTGGGTTGTACTGGGTTATACTGGGTTGTACTGGACTCTACCAGGTTGTACTGGATTATACTGGGTTGTACTGGATTATGCTGGGTTATACTGGGTTGTAGTGGGCTGTACCAGGTTGTACTGGGTTATACTGGGTTATACTGGTCTGTGCTGCGTTGTAGAGGGTTGTACTGGGTTATACTGGGCTGTAGTGGGTTGTACTGGGTTATACTGGGTTGTACAGGATTGTGCTGCATTATACTGGGTTATACTGGGTTGTAGTGGGTTGTACTGGACTGTACCAGATTGTACTGGATTATACTGGGTTGTACTGGACTGTACCAGGTTGTACTGGGCTGTACTGGGTTACACTGGTTTGTACTGCATTGTACTGGGGCACTGGGAGCCCTGGGAGGCGCACTGGGTTATACTGGGTTATACTGGGAAGGTGAGCTCTGCCGGTTAGGGGGAGGTTCTGAGGCCTGGGTAGGGAAGGTGTTACCCATCCATACCGGTCCATACTGGTCTGTACTGGGCAGGGGGCCTGTGCATCGCCCAGTCCATCAAGATCCCGCGGGAGCCGAAGCCAGGGGAGTTTGCCAAGGTCATCGGGCGCCTTGCACTGGGTTATACTGGGATATACTGGGAAGGTGAGCTCTGCCGGGGAGGGGGAGGTTCTGAGGCCTGGGTAGGGAAGATGTTACCCATCCATACCGGTCCATACTGGTCTGTACTGGGCAGGGGGCCTGTGCATCGCCCAGTCCATCAAGATCCCGCGGGAGCCGAAGCCAGGGGAGTTTGCCAAGGTCATCGGGCGCCTGATGGAGACGTCGACCGCGCGCGGGGTCGTGCTCTTCGCCAACGAGGACGACATCCGGTGAGACCAGTGCGCCCCAGTCCACACCAGTCCTGCCACAGTCCCTCCCCAGCCCACTTGAGCTCTGCCGGTTAGGGGGAGGTTCTGAGGCCTGGGTAGGGAAGATGTTACCCATCCATACCGGTCCATACTGGTCTGTACTGGGCAGGGGGCCTGTGCATCGCCCAGTCCATCAAGATCCCGCGGGAGCCGAAGCCAGGGGAGTTTGCCAAGGTCATCGGGCGCCTGATGGAGACGTCGACCGCGCGCGGGGTCGTGCTCTTCGCCAACGAGGACGACATCCGGTGAGACCAGTGCGCCCCAGTCCACACCAGTCCTGCCACAGTCCCTCCCCAGCCCACTAGAGTTCACCCCAGTCTGGTCAGGTCCCCTCCCAGTAGCTCCCCAGTCCAACCCAGTGGCCTCCCAGTCCTTTCAGTCCATCACAGTGGCCTCCATTGTTCATTCCAGTAGTCACCCAACTCATTCTAGCTCCTCCCAGTTACGTCCCTGAGTCCATCCCAGTAGCCTGCAGTCCATCCCAGTGGCCCCCAGCCCATCTCAGTAGCCCCCAGTCCATCCCAGTGGCCCCCAGCCCATCCCAGTGGCACAGTGGCCTCCATTGTTCATTCCAGTAGTCACCCAACTCATTCTAGCTCCTCCCAGTTACGTCCCTGAATCCATCCCAGTAGCCTGCAGTCCATTCCAGTGGCCCCCAGCCCATCCCAGTAGCCCCCAGTCCATCCCAGTGGCCCCCAGCCCATCCCAGTGGCCCCCAGTACTTCCCAGTTTGCCCAGTAGCCGTGGCTGTCCCCGCAGGCGGGTGCTGGAGGCCGCCACGCTGGCCAACCTCTCGGGCCACTTCTCGTGGGTGGGCTCGGACAGCTGGGGGGCCAAGATGGCACCGGTGCAGGGCCTGGAGGACGCGGCACACGGGGCCATCACCATCCTGCCCAAACGAGCCTCGGTGCCCGGTGAGCGCTGGGGGCACTGGGAGGGAACTGGGGGGACTGGGGGCACTGGGATGGCCTGAGTGTACTGGGGGGACTGGGGGCTACTGGAATGGACTGGGGGCTACTGGGAGGGACTGGGGGTAGTGGAAGGTTTTTGGGAGGGGCTGGGAGAGACTGGAGATTGCTGGAGGGGCTCTGGGGTGGGTTTGGGGGCTCTTAGGAGGCTTTGGGGAGACCTGGGGTGTTCGAGGGGGGACCCAGATGGGCTCAGGAGGGGCTCTGGGAGAACTTGGGAAGGTTTGGGTGGCTCATGGGACGCTCCAGGATTCTGTGGGTCCCCTGTGGCTCTGTGGGGTCCCCACAACCCCATGTGGTCCCCTGTGGCTCTGTGGGGTCCCCATGACCCCGCGGTGTCCCCGTGCCCCCCAGGCTTTGACGAGTACTTCACGTCGCGCTCTCTGGAGAACAACCGCCGCAACCTCTGGTTCCACGAGTTCTGGGAGGACGACTTCAACTGCCGCCTGCCCCACGGCA